ACCTGTAGGAGATGAACCCTCTGACTGGTGCCACCCACTAGTCACCGTAGCGAAGGATAAAGGTGTGAGGATTACTGTTGACTTACCCCACCTCAACAGCCAAGTATCCCGCCCGACACATCCTTCCCCAACACCCTTCGACACCATTCGTCATATCACTCCATCGTCACGGTATTTCACGACAGCGGATGCTTTGTGTGGATATTGGCAACTTGAACTAGCTGAGGAGGACCAGCACCTTACCACTTTCATAACGCTGTATGGACGCTTCAAGCATTGCAGAGGCCCTATGGGTTTCTCAGCTACTGGAGATGCTTACTGTCATCGAGGAGACATGGCCCTCCTGGGTATGCAGAGACGTGTAAAGGTGGTAGATGACATCCTTCTCTACAGCGACGACTTCAAGACGCACATCCGACAAGTTGACCAGATGCTAGCTAGGTGCCGCAAGCATGGGATCATGCTCAACCAGGACAAGTTTGTGATCGCCACCCCTAGTGTGAGCTTCTGTGGCTAAATCTCAGCCAAGGGAATTGAAACAGACCAGGAAAGAGTCAGCACCATTCGCGACTTTCCAACGCCAGCAAACCTGACTGATCTGCGTTCCTTCATGGGCCTTTTTAACCAACTGTCAGAGTTCACCCCAGATATTGCTTCTGTTGCCCAAACCGGCTACGCTTTACTCCAAGACCATGGCCAGGGCCAGCTACACCTTGTTCAATGTGACAAGAATTGTGTAACCACTGGGTTCCCCTCTAACCGTTATGACCTTCACAATTCGTTACTCCCTTACAGGAAGCTTCGAGACAGCCTTTCTGCCGATGGGGAACTGGTCTTGTATTGCCAAAGAATTGTGATACCGACCGCCCACCCGTCGCCGCACACTCGCTCGCCTACACGACAGTCACCGTGGGGTGGAAGTGACGAAACGCAGGGCACATCAGACCATATTTGGCCTGGGATCGACGCTGACATCACCAGCACAGTTGAAACCTGCCAGCCATGTCAGGTCATGCAACCAACAGCAAGAGACCATGCAAAACGACGATAACCCTACAAGGCCTTTTGCGTCTGTGTCTGCTGACTTCTTCACAGTTGCTTGGAAGTCATTCCTGGTAATTGCGGATCAACTCTCTGGTTGGCCCGTCATCGTTCCCTGTGGTGCCTCATCTACAGCATCACGCACCACATGCATGTTCTGCTGTTACTTCAGGGACGTTGCTGTTCCCCTCCACTTGAGGACTGATGGAGGACCCCAGTTCACCAGCTATGAGTTCGAAGAGTTCATGAAATGATAGGGCGTATGCCACATTGTATCCTCACCACATTACCCCCAGTCGAACGGACACGCCGAGACGGCCGTCAAGTCAGCAAAGTACCTCATCATGAAGACAGTGCCCTCTGGCCCTGGACAATGAAGACTTCAATAGAGGCCTCCTTGAGCTGCACAACACCTCTAACGTCACAGGAAGGTCTCCCGTGCAGATTCTCTACGGCCGCCCACTCCGCTCCTGTGTTCCTGCCCATCCAGAGTCCTTCTCGCAGGAATGGAAAGAGAAGTCAGAAAACTACGATCGCCGAACAGCCGACCGTGCCCAGCAGATTAAACGTCAGTACGACAAGTTATGTATAGGACAGATGGTACGGATCCAGGACCCAAACTCACTTTGTTGGGACAAGGTTGGCACAGTTATAGGCTGCGGCAGATCAAAGGATTATGAGGTGCGACTACCTAGTGGACGAGTTTGGTGGCGTAATCGACTCCTACGACCAGTGCCTACCCCTAGTGTTGATCCCCTCCCCCACATCCCTGTGACCCCTTGCTTGGACGAGAAAATAATGTCCTCTGTAATTGACCCCCCAGTAACCCCACGTCGATCTAAGCGACTGATGAAAAAACAGTCTGGTCGAGACAGAGCTACAAGCGTGAGGGGGGAGGGAGGTGTAGATATGTGATATATTAGTGTCTGTGTATATACCATACCATAACATGTACACCACGGATTGTCATCCTCTGTATCATATTAACCATGCAACTGTCTACCTCCATTCATGTAACAACTTGTGCCCTGTTCCAGTAACAACATGCCTCAGGCAGAGCGTCGCCAGCGAGCTGACTGTCCGGTCGCACACCGCAGTGCTCCTGTGTACTTTAATATGGCCTTGATAAGTGATCCCTGGTTTTATTTGAACCTACAAATCATCATACCACATTACTCAAGAACATTCGTATGAACCAATGCAGCTATTTTGAATTTATCCAGGACGAATTTGAAGACTGTGTGTCAAAATGTGAGTTTGATGTTTTTATGCAGGAAGGGGCACTGTGTCAACTCGCATAAATAGTAGTGAACTGGTTTGAATTTTGTAATGCAAGATTGCTAAAACCTTGGCCAGGAAACTTTATAGGTAAAACCTAAAGAAAACCTCAGGACATACACCAAGTACCATTTAAAGGACAGGGATACATCCTCCATCCTGCATATTCAAACGTCCATTC